TTGTTGCAGCTAAACTTTTCTTCAGCCTATCTTCTTAAATTGCTCCCTACGACATGCACGATACGTTACACTTTTACTACATCTCGCTTTCCTTAGGGCACTGGTAAAACAACAGGTAATGTGTCCTGGCCTAAGTAATTCTTTCAGTGTGAATTATCCTTCTGTACTGCTCGGCTGTTGCTCTTCATAGTAGTCCTGTGACGAATAAATGGATTTCCCAGGATGTAATTCAGCATCGAAAAAGAAACGTCAGACGTAGCAGAAACATCAGATATAGAAGAAACGTCAGACGTAACAGAAACGTTTGAAGTAGCAGAAACGTGTGCAGTAGCAGAGGCTTCAGAACTAGCAGAAACGTCATACTTAGCAGAAACGCCACACGTAGCAGAAACGTCATACGTAGCAGAAACGTTAGAAGTAGCAAAGGCTTCAAAACTAGCAGAGGCTTCATAAGCAGCAGAAAGGTCAAACGTAAAAAAAATGTAAGAAATAGCACAGGCTCCAGAAGTAGCAGAAACGTCAGAAGTAGCATAAGCTTCAGAGGTAGCAGAGGCTTCAGACGTAGCAGAAACGTCAGAAGTAATAGAAACGTCAGATTTAGCAGAAACATGTGAGGGAGCACAGGCTTCAGAAGTAACAGAATTGTACGAAGTAGCACAGGCTTCAGAAGTAGCAGAATTGTACGAAGTAGCACAGGCTTCAGAAGTAGCAGAACTGTACGAAGTAGCACAGGCTTCAGAAGTAACAGAATTGTACGAAGTAGCACAGGCTTCAGAAGTAGTAGAACTGTACGAAGTAGCACAGGCTTCAGAACTAGCAGAATTGTACGAAGTAGCACAGGCTTCAGAAGTAGCAAAAGCATATGTAGTAGCAGAAGCATCAGAATTGGCAGAGGCTTCAGATGTAGCAGAAGTGCGAGAACTAGCAGACACGGCAGGTGTAGCAGAAATGTTAGAAGTAGCAGAAGCGTGAGGAGTAGCAAAAGGATAAGTAGCAGAAACATGAGAAGTAGCAGAAGGATAAGTAGCAGAAACGTTAGAAGTAGCAGAAGCATGAAAAGTAGCAGAAAGGTGATAAGTAGTGAAAATGTGAGAACTAGCATAAACGCGAGAAGCAGCCGAAACGTCAGAAGTAGCAGATGCAGAAGAAGCATGGAAAGTGTCAAAAGATATATATATATATATGCGGCGTCCGTGGCTAAGGCGTTGCGAATCCGACTCGTAAGCCAGCATACCGCGATAGAAACCTGCGTGGGCTGCGTGGATTTTTATCGTGGTATGGGACGTCGCAGGTCGACCCAGCCTCAAATGGGTACCAGGATGGGCTGTCCTGGGAAAGTAAAGACAGCCGGCGTAATTCTGACCACATTACCCACAGAGTGCTGATGGTCTGTAAAAATATGGGACTCTCTGCCCATATGCCCGATGCGCCGAAAGGCGTGAAAAGGGAACTTTACTTTACTTTATATATATATATATATATATATATATATATATATATATATATATATATATATATATATATATATATATATATATATATACTGTCTATGGAGCCTGGGAGTCGCGTTAATGTAATGGCCAAACGCTCACCTGCCAGCCGGACACCCTCGGATTCGAAGTCTCTTCAGGGGCAGATTTAAAAAACAAATATCTATGGCTCTCAGGTAAAAAACAAAACAGACATTTTTCAAGCCAGTAGCCATATAATGATAAATGCATATATGTGCACACCAATAGGTACTCGGTGTGTGCTGCGGTCACCAATACAAATGCCGCCTTTACTTCCCAGAACTTTGACCGTTACCCCACTTTAGGCTGGGTCGACCTTGAAGCCGAGGTCATTTTTAAAAATAAATTCGACTTGTTGCGGATTTGCCATATCCAAGACATTTGGGTCAGCAGGCGAACGCATACCGGGGACCCCTTAACGGTTTCCCTGGTTCTGTTTAGTCATGGTGTTAATTTTTCTGGCGATAACGGTTAGTTCCACGATAGTTCCCCCAGAGGCCGCCCATATACACACTAGCTCACTTCTGATTGATCGACCTTGAGTCATCCGACCTTGGCACACGGTGACGGGGGTATTCCCCAATGCCGTTGATATCGCGTGTTCTGTATTTGAGCACGCCAGCGCTCTTAACACTATAAAAACATGCAGAAACTGGGTCTAACACACAGTCCCACTAGAGAGTGTTGCAACCTATGTCACAGGCATTCTATTTCTTGGAATGAAAACGTAAATTCAAGACAAGCCAGAAAGCAAACAACAAAGCGGCACACGCGTAGCCCCCGGAAAGTAGACCAGTCCTAAAAAAGTTATCAATGGAAAGTGTTTGGGAAGACAAACGTCACACTAAATCAGCAATGTTACACAGTACCGGCGCCTTTTTAGACATCATGTTTTTTTTTCAGCGCTACTGTAATAGACAGCGGCGTCCGTGGCTTAGACGTTGCGAGTCCGACTGGTAATTCCAACGTACAGTGATCGAAACCCACTGCTGGCTGCGTGGATTTGAATCATGGTATGAGGCATCGCAGGTCGACCCAGCCTAAAATGGGTACCAGGATGTATGTCCTATGGAAGTAAAGGACCACATTACCCACGTAGTGCAGATTGGTCTGTAAAAACGTGGGTGCTTTTCCCATATACCCGATGCGCCTAGAGGCGTGAAAAGGGATCTTTCCTTTTTTTTTTTAACTATACTGTAACAGACACTGAGCTGTTTGTACCGGGTCAATTGTTTTTACACACTTTATGGTAGGTACCAAAACCCCCTTTTTTTCCACACACACACACACACAAAATTGCGTTTAGTCATTATAAAACACATGAATGAATAGGTCAGTATTGCCTCTACGCACATAATGGAAATGTCACAGCGATTTCACAATCATTCGATACACGTTTCCGAAGGAGTTTTTGATTATGAGTTTCGGTGTACGAGTAAGGATTCCCTGGGAAATTAAATCTAATATGATTTTCTGATGAAAGGGACACAATCGATTCCGTCGCCAGTTGTATATTCTTATATACAGGCAATGTATACTGATCTGATATTTGACTGTCCTTTCTTACGTCTTGGAGCCGTAATGGTGAGGTCTTCTTCTTCTGTTCTTCTGTCGTTTAGCTCTCAATGGAGCATAGACCCTCAACCAATTCACACCAAGTTATCCGATCCTTTGCTACCGCATGCAGCTCACCCCTTGTCCTCTTCATCATTTTAACTTCATTCTCTTGTTCCCTACGGCATGGTGGGTTTTTTTTTTTTGGGGGGGGGGGGAGGTGGGGAAGGGGGGGGGGGTCTGCCTTTATATATATGTGCCTCTGTTGCTTCCCGTGGATTGACATTCTAGTTTTATTGTTCTCAGATTTTCTCCGTGCGTGTCCTATCCATCTCATCCAGGTAAATTTTGTAATTGACCTAGGATTTCAACGTCCACCACGCTTAAATGTATATAAGAAAATGCCCTGTAATCACTCATTAAGCATCGTGTGGTCTTTACAAAATATGGTTTCAACACCATTTTCCTTAACAATTGCGATTTCTTATATTTTTTTTATTGTGGTCATATAATGACAGATACCAGTGGTCCATCACACTTCACCACAAACTGAAAAAGCAACTGATTTACAACTGCTGGATATTGTGGGGGTGGAGAGTGCTAAGAAAGGAGGTGTAAAGTGCTAAGAAGGGACTTCCATTGAATATTAGGAAAACGGAAGTAATGATTATATCAAAGAAGAAGATAATTCCACGTTGTGAAATCTCAATTGAAGGAAAAAGACTTAACCAAGTCAGTAAAGTTAAATATCTGGGAACAATCCTATCATTAGATGGAAAATGTTAGACAGAGATTGAAAGTAGAATAAGTCAAGCGAAAGCTGCATTCCAGAAAATGAAAGATATCTTGTGCAATAAATCGCTCTCATTTAATGTCAGAAAGTTGGTGCTAAAATGTTATATAGAACCTGTTTTGCTGTATGGCAGCGAATCTTTGAATGTCAGTGAACAAATTAAGAAGAATTTGGAAGCAACAGAGATGTAGTTTCTGAGACGAAAGTTACGAATACCTTAGACGGACAGAGTAACTAACAACGATTGCTTAAAAGAGCTAATGAAAGTAGATCTCTATATACACCAATAAGAAAGAGATAAACACTGTTCTTTGGCCATATAATGAGAAGGGAGATATTGGAGAACATCGTGACAACTGGAAAGATCAGTGGGAAAATGGGTAGAGGCAGACCAAGAAAGATGATGCTGGATGGGCTGAAACGATGGCATGGAGGGATATCATCAAGAGAGATATTCAAGGCAACCAGGGATCGTGATCTGTGCAAGCGCATGCGCGCCTACGCCGGTTGGCAGGGCGCATGGTGCTGCTAATCACACTTCTAACTTGTATCTAACCATCTCTAATAATATCAATTTTCTCCTTTAGACTCCCAATTTCTAACTATCTGTAATAATATCCAGTTAGTCCTTCTAACTCCCAGCTCTTTCTTTCCTGCCTCTCAGGTAAATGCATTCTGACTTCGAAGAAAACACCCCTAATTAGTCGCCTCCTGCGACATGCTTGTTGGGGGCAGTGGGTCTATCCCGTCTCCCCTCCCCCATCCCCAATGAGGCCACGGCACTCACACGGATATCAAATGAATGATAACTTGGTGTTGACAACTTAGTGTGAGTTAGGTTAGTTGCGTATCCTTTACAGGACGTTGCAGAACCAGTGGTTTTTCTAGGCAAATTTACGTCCAGTAGTTTGCCATTGCCTCTGGACGGTCGCCTTTTTTGATACCTCAGTCGAAACCAACACAAGGCGCATGGCCCGCAGCTGGGACCAAACCCGGCATCACGAAGCGTTCTTATCGACTTAGCCACAGATAGTGTGAGTGGTTCGAAGATTTATGCTACAGTAAAGAAATAACTGCCTGAAGTGATAACATCCAGTTTCTCCCTTCTAACAGTCCTTGATATTTCCCCTTGTCTCCAGGTCATGTCCAGACGCGGTGACAGCTCGTCGTCCTCCTCAAACTTAGACCAGATGCCCAGGGATCCTGAAGCCCGTGAGGGGTGGGGCGGAAAGTTGGACTTCATCCTGACATGTATTGGTTACGCCGTGGGCCTTGGCAACATCTGGAGATTCCCGTATCTGTGTTACAAAAGTGGAGGAGGTAAGTAGAACTTCTTCTTCTAGTGGTGTTCTCTCTCTCTCTTTCTCTCTGTTTGTATATGTGTATGAGTGTGTATTAATGTGTGTATGTATGAATGAACGTGTTTATGTATGAATGTATGTGTCTAGGTGAGTATGTGGGTGTGTATGCATGTGTGTGTAAGTGAGTGAGTGATTTGGTGGGCGTGTGTATGTGGGTTTGTATGTGTGTAGGTGTGTGCTCGTGCATTTTACCATCCATGCCTTTTTTTTCTTGATATTCAAAATGCTTTATTGATAGAATACAACTGCTGTGTGAGATATGGGTGTTTGGAAGAGCCGAATATTAAACATGCCTGCGTGCTGAATGTGTAACCCTTTGAGAATAAAGTTCGTTCGTTCTCTCTCTGTGTGTGTGTGTGTGTGTGTGTGTGTGGGGGGGGGGAGAGGGGGGGGGGTGTCAGTGACTAGGCGTGCATGTAATTGATAAAATCACCAAATTCATGTTCCACTGTAGAAGAAAAATGCATTAATGTACTATATGTTATTACTATTTACTATGTATTACAAATACGCCACTCGGTTTCTATCGTGGCGAACAGGCAACGCTTGTTCAGAGTGTTAACATAGCAAACATGAACACTAGCTGCATGCTAACGCCACTTGTGCAGAAACTATAACGTGTGAAATATACCAGTTACTAGTCCTGTAGTGCAATCTACGCACTCATATTATAAATAGAAAATCCAAGAGGGGCCAAATATCACATGATACCCTCTCCAGCACAGTCATTCTCTGCTAACGCTTACACTTGCGAACTGATCACCATGGTGTGTGTGTGAGAGAGAGAGAGAGAGAGAGAGAGAGAGAGAGAGAGAGAGAGAGAGAGAGGTTGGGTACAGCTTTGGTTATAGTTGTAGTCTAATTTCTTTGTGCCAAGTGTATTGGCTTAGATATGGTAACTGTGTCAGATCTAGTGGCTATCATAGTTTTTTTGTGGTGCCATTATAAATAGCGAAATGTCCGTATTAGTTTGCCATGTTATCCCTCTCTACATATCTAGATCTTGTATATTAGTCATTTGATAAAACAAAGTTCTTTGGTCGCGTGAAAAAACACACACACACACTGGAGAATATAGTAGCGACTGGAAAAATCCCTCATAGAAGAGGCAGAGGCAGACCAAGAGAAATTATGGTGGATGACTTAAGACAGTGGCATGGAGAAAAATGATCAGTCGAATTGATCCAGAATACCAAAGACCGAGATCTGTGGCGAAGCGTGAACTCCTACGCCAATTAGCAAGGCACTTAATCATGATGATGTCTAATTTGCTGCATTTTTCTTTCCTGCTGATCTATCTCTACATGGAAATGTGACATCTCTGACACCCTGCGAGCTTTATACTAATGTATAATATCAAATTATCCGTAAATGGACACAACACAAACATCCGTGTGGGTACATGTGAGATGAAAGCGGGAGAAGGTAAACAATATCTTTAATGCATAAAGCATTAAAACATGTACAGGCACGCGTGAACTTAAGTATTATGACACGTATATTGGCAGTATGAAAATATTACGTCATTAGTTCAAGGACAGAAAGGGAACTAAGATGTGGGAATGAACTATTAGAGAAGCTTTGTGTACACTGTGTACATGACATGATGAAATATTCACATTAATCTATGTTTGTAGTTATAAGTTAGGATCTGATATCATAGCATTTGGGTCATTCCCATAACCGCCTCATCCCCATCTTCAACAGCAAGCTCAGAGTTCTATTCGATCAGCAACTGTCTGACTGTATGACTCACCTTTTCCTGGAGAGCTGAGCGGCAGGCATATCCCCGGTCTCTCCTCAGACCGTGATGATCTGTCTGTGCCTTCTCACTGTTTACTCACTCCAAGAGGGCCTTTACAACAGCTAGCATTTCATGCATCAGTTTGTAACCAAGTGGTGCAGAACCAGTCAGTCTATCTGCATGTTCATTTCCCAATACACAGGCCTGACCTGGAGAAAACAAGATGTGTAGATAAAAAGATGAAGTCATCATCATCATGTAGCAGGTCCTTTGCAGAACGTCGCTCTCATCACAGTCTGCCTGAAAGGAACTTAATCTCTCGCCAGTTATACTGCCTCATGCACTTTCACACTCAAGGAGTCACTTATATCCTGTGCCCATCTTCGTGTCGGTCGGCCCCTGCCCCTCCTTCCTGGTACCATGCCTTCTGCTATAATTTTTTCCAATCTGTCGTGGCGCTTGATATGACCAAAATATTTCAGTTTTTGAGAAAGGATGCTGTTATTAACTAATCTTCCTTGATGTTCAGATCTTTTAAGATGTCAGTATTTCGCATCTTCTTTGTCCAAGATATTCTGAGAATCTTTCTATAGCATTTCAGCTCAAAAGCCCCTATCCTCTTTCTTAAGGACTGAGAGATAGTCCACGACTCACATCCGTATGTAGCCACAGGGAAGATGCATGAACTCAAAATTCTAATTTTTATCTCCTTGCTGGTGCTTAACCATAGACTTTTAAGGCTGTTCATTCTTTGCATTGCTATGGTCATCCCATCCTCCTTTTAATTTATGTTGAACAGTCTCCACTAAAAAGATGAAGTATTCACAATAATCTGTGTTTGAAGAAGAAGAAGAAGAAGATGAAGAGGAGGAGGCAGAGGTTGAGGGGAATGTAGGAGGGGAATAAGAGGGGAGGAGGAGAAGATGAAGGATGCCTTTTTACGCTTGTATGATATTTCATACAACTCATTATATGCTGGGTCGAGTCAAGCACCAAGGCCAACTATAAAAATCCACATGGATGCAAATTTAAACCAAGACCTTTTAGCTGGCAGGAAAGTATCTATCTACTGCGCTACAGCTGCTCCCTATGCTAGAGACATCAGGATTGAAATACTACCTGTTGTGCCATGTTAATGGTATCAGCATTGAAATGTTATCTGCTTAGTGCTATATTATTAATATCAGGACTGAAATGTTATCTGCTTGATGCCATGTTATTGGTATCAGGATTGAAATGTTATCTGCTTGGTGCCATGTTCTTGGTATCAGGATTGAAATGTTATCTGCTTGGTGCCATGTTCTTGGTATCAGGATTGAAATGTTATCTGCTTGGTGCCATGTTCTTGGTATCAGGATTGCAGTTTTATCTGCTTGGTGGCATGTTATTGGTTTCAGGATTGAAATGTTATCTGTTTATACCCTGTTATTTGTATCAGGAGTGAAATGTTATCTGCTTGGTGCCATGCTATTTATATTTTCTTCTTCTTCTTCTTCTTTCACAGACTGTAAAGTCTGGTTGTTCATTCTCTCCTGGACTTTTAGTCTTGCTCCACAACTTGAGTTTAGCATGCACATCCTTTTTACAGATCTGACTTTGTTCATAGACTGGTGTTCATAGACTGGTGTACATAGACTGGTGTACATAGTCTGTGCAGCGATTATGAAATAGGACAGGATTAACAACCAATTTATTCTCACACACAAAATGCATGCTCTCAAAATGTTAAATTTTTTTTTTCTGCTGTTGTGCTATGATTACAGTATGCAGTATATAATCATAATATCAAGGACCACAAAATGTGCAGAAAGAAACAACATCAGAGAAGATCTACAAAATAGGATGTGTCTATGGCCAAGGTGACTAGTAGAACAATAAGCCGAATCATGTATCTCTTTCAACACCCCCAAAGTGTTTCCCCCCCCCCCCCCCCCCCCCCCCCCCAAATAGGCAGTGATGAAGAAATGTTTCTAATCATACAAACTGTAATATACATCATTTAATAACTGTTATTACTTTATTTCATTTGCAGGTGCCTTCCTTATTCCTTACAGCTTATTTCTACTTGTATGTGGCCTTCCCCTGTTTTTCCTTGAGGTTTCCTATGGTCAGTTTTCAAGCTTAAGTCCAGTAGCCATTTGGAAAGTGGCTCCATTATTCAAAGGTAACAAATGCCATTTTTTGTCATCTTCATAATAGGCTTCTTATTCTGCGTTTCTCCTCAAAATGGTGGGTTGAAAGTGTGTGATGGTATTCAGCTGGTCTGTGGTATCTGTGGCTTTAGTCCAGCACATCTACTTTCAGCAGGACAATTATAATTAACCTTTTATGACTTACTTAAATGTAGGATAGCTCAAGCAAAGACAACATTTTACCAAATGAGGAATATTTTATGCATTCTTTCTTTGTCAATTGAGACAAGAAAGAGACTTCTTAAAAGCTATATGAATTACATCTTGATATACAGAAGTGAATCATGGACAGTTGGTAAATTAGTGAAAACTTATTTGGAAGCATCATAGGTGTGGTTTTATAGATAAGTGATGAGAATACCCTGGACAGATCAAAAGAGTAATGAGTATGTTTTAAAAGAAACTGACTCACGAAGAGAACTGATTGCCCACATCAGAAAGAGACAATCAACATTCTTTGGTCATGTGATGAAAAGGAGAAAACTGAAGTACATTGTGACAGAAGGGAAAGTTGGAGGGAAGGAAAAGCAGAGGGAGACCGAGAGAACAGATGCTGGGCAGTTTGACATCATGGCATGGAGGATCATCTGTGTTAGAGTTGACTAAAAGTACACAAAACAGAAGGCTGTGGATAAACATGACTATAAACGCCACACGGAATGGACTTTAGGAAGTCCACCCCAAAGAAATGGCTTCAGAACTCAACCCACACAGAGATTTCACAGTCTTGTTTTTTAGATTTTACATAGATGCAATGTCTTTCTGTATATCTGTATTTTTGTGTGTTATTTTCTGTCTGACTGTGTTTTTCAGTCTCTCTGTATCTTTGTGTCTGTGTTTGTTTGTTTCTGGTGACTAATAAAAGTTTTTTAAATAAATCAGATGTGTGCGCTGAAATATGCAGATATCACAGCCTAGCTGTGAACCACAGCACAATATGCCCTTTTAAGACTAAACCCATAAGAAAAAGAAAAAGATGTATCATAGAACAGTATCATAGAACAGTATCATAGAACAGTATCATAGAACAGTATCATAGAACAGTATCATAGAACAGTATCATAGAACAGTATCATAGAACAGTATCATAGAACAGTATCATAGAACAGTATCATAGAACAGTATCATAGAACAGTATCATAGAACAGTATCATAGAACAGTATCATAGAACAGTATCATAGAACAGTATCATAGAACAGTATCATAGAACAGTATCATAGAACAGTATCATAGAACAGTATCATAGAACAGTATCATAGAACAGTATCATAGAACAGTATCATAGAACAGTATCATAGAACAGTATCATAGAACAGTATCATAGAACAGTATCATAGAACAGTATCATAGAACAGTATCATAGAACAGTATTGGAAGTGTTAGTTTCTAGAACAAACTAGAGGCAACACAGGACATGGACATTCACATATTTAAATTATATAATTTCCCAGAAAACTGGAGGATAAGATTGCTCACTGTTTTTAGTCATTACCAGTTTTTGCTTTGGACAGACGGTGGTCAATGTATTTTCCTCCCTTTGTAGACAGAAAGGATATAGTTTTGTCACCTAGCTACTGAGTTGAGTGCATGGCGTGACATGTGAGCTGCAGATTTCATTTGGAATATTTTTCAACTGTGTCCATTGTCATGTTGTGAACTGTAGAAATTGCGAGTGACCTGTTGAAAGAGAACTGATGATGCCTTATGTCATTACAATTATTCACGTGTGCAGCTGCTGGTCTGTTTGTAACTGCTGCTTCTGCTGATAGTGAACTGCATTTCTAATGTTGGACTGTTTGTGTCAGTACTTCTGATGGCTGCCTTATGCTTTTAATGTGTGTATGATAGCGGATAGGCTGAGACTGTAGTCTGTGTCAATTTTCCCCCCACAAGTGATGTGTTTTTTGTTGACACATGAGCATGGTAACTTTGGGGTGGCCCGTTTGCTATGAAGCTAGATTATCAGATATTTAAATGCATGAGGCAGGAAAAGAGTGAAAAGTGAAAAGACTTTCTGACAACCTATAATTAAATTTACATTCAGCAAAGGAATTGTAAACAGGAAGAGGAAGTCATGTCATAATCTTTTAAGCCTCTTCTGATCATTTAAGCCTCTTCTGATCAAAGGGGCATAACTGTGAATGGTTCATTATCATTGATATATGCCACAGTATACCATCACTAACAAAAACCAATAAGTCATCTTTTGCAATTCCATATGATTCTCAAAATCACATATCATGTCAGTGTTCTTGTCTCACCCCCATCCAGGCAACTAAGCCATCCAGGTATTAGTCTCTTTGGCTTCCCTTTGCTGTCTTCTCATCAATCTTGCCAGTCACATTGGAAAACACTGACTGTCTACATCTGATAGAAAGTTCTGGTTGTCTGTCTACTCTTGACTTTAATTTTGTTTCAGAACCTGAGTATTGCGTGCACATCTATTTTACAGATCTGGCTTACTTGTATGCAAACTGTTGGTTCCATATCTCTCAGGCAGTTGAACTCTGACCGACTTTGAGGGAGGCTCCTAATTAGTTGACTCCTATGACATGCTTGTGGGGGAGGCAGTGGGTCTATTCTTGTCCTCCTCCTCCCCCATCTCCCACAGCGGGGCCCTAGAACTCACACAGGGAATCTGCATTACTGCATCACTACAGTTACAGCAAGATATAACAAAGCATAAAAATATGAATACCTTCCACTCAGTGAGCAACAGTTCATCTTCATCCTCATGCTCATGTCTCTCCACAAATCTTTGTCTTTGGCTCATGCCTCTCCACAAATCTTAGTCCTTGGCTCATGACTCTCCTACATCTTGGTCCTTGGCTCATGACTCTCCACAGATCTTTGTCTTTGGCTCATGACTCTCCTACATATTGGTTCTTGGCTGATGACTCTCCTACATATTGGTTCTTGGCTGATGACTCTCCTACATATTGGTTCTTGGCTGATGACTCTCCTACATCTTGTTCCTTGGCTCATGACTCTCCTACATCTTGGTCCTTGGCTCATGACTCTCCACAGATCTTGGTCCTTGACTCATGACTCTCCTACATCTTGGTCCTTGGCTCATGACCCTCCACAGATCTTATTCCTTGGCTCATGACTCTCCTACATCTTGGTACAGTGGATAGATACTTGATTGCTGACCTGGAGGTCTGGAGTGTTAATTCACACAGGTAAATGTAACTCTTTCATTCCAACTAGCTTTTGCAGCAGACACCTAGAAGAACAACTACACAATTTCATGACCATAGAATTTTTAAATACACTAAATATGCAGTATAAGTTGCCACTGGGGGTAAGCCAGGTTTCTTCAGTGTACGCACTGCATAATGGTTAGAGTCCATCACTTATCATCATTTTCTTCAGACTTCTTTCTAGTGTCCACCGGCTGTAAATTCAGGTGGAAAGTTCTGGTTGTTAGTTCATTTCAGGACTTAGGTCTTGTTCCAGACCTTAAATTTTGTGTGCACATCCATTTTACAGATCTGGCTTGCTTGTAACTAGACTGTTGATTCCTTGCCTGAATGTCAAAATTGCTCTGGCTTCAGTGAAAAAATCCCCAATCAATTGCCTTTTATGACATGCTTGTTAGGGGCAGTAGGTCTGTTCTTTTGAGATCCCAGAATAAAACACAAGGAGAAGTTTGACACTGAAAGAGTTTTAAAAAAAAAACTTTGGCTTCCTGGTCCAACCAACTAAAATGCCATGCGCTGCACTTACCGAACCGAGGAGCACGCTAAAGGACATGACTCCGTATCCCTGTCTAGACCGATGGACATGGGGGTGCAGCCTGGAGCTGCAAGAAATGAACATTTCACTAAGGGGACAAGATGTTTCATTAACCAACACAGAACAGGTGATTTACACTTGTGGAGCTTTTGAGGAGATCGGAGCACCTATGGATCTGTCCAGAATGCTGTGATGATAATCCTCTCTAATCACTAATCACCAACCTAAAATAGGTACCAGGAGACATCCTGGCAGATAAAGGTGACTAGCATGATGTTGAACCCGTCATCCATAGAATGCTGATGTATCTGTAGAAATGGGAGTCTGACATCATATGCCCAATGCGCTTTTGGATTTTTTTTTAAAACATACTTTAGGGTTTACTATTAAACAAAACAAATATTGTGAAATGTCTCTCTTAGGTAAGGTTTCCTGTTCACATTTCATGTTCATCCACTTTTGACATTAGTGACTTTATTTTTCAATGTATAAAGTACAATTTTTTCCAATTTTTTTTTAAACGTTTACAATTGTGTCATCTTTTTCTTCTTCCTGTGTTCGCTTTTGATTTTCACTGAAAGACAAGTTCTTGTGATAAACTTTGACTGTTTTAGAATACAATGACTCTGCGGGCCAGTATTTCTTTCCCTAATAGGCTGAACAAGGGACTTTCTTGTAGGGCATGTTCTGTAGTCTGCGCACACAGCCCACATGGCACAGTGGTGAACTACTTAGACAAAGCCTGTGCATATGCTTATTAAGTTTGTTTTGTCCTGTCCTGCAACTTAGAATAATGACCTACCGATGCCGGTCATGTAAGTGCTAGTCATCTCTGACCAGATTCAGATCACTTCTGACAGGCTGGATGACCCTCTTCTTTTCAAAGTATGTTACTGCATTCTCTTCCTGTTCACATTCTGCCCCTTTCCTAGCAAGTTTGTTGTCTTCTTCATGAAAAATATGGTAGTCAGCATTCTTGCCAGTGTTTATAGTAAGTTGTTAGTGTTCGTGATCTAGGCGTTGCAAAAATTCCTTATAACTCTGAGGTGCTGGGCTTAATCCCAACTGAAGGCTATTTTACAGCAGACTGCCTTATGCTGGTTTTGCAAGTGGTATTGAAAGCTGACCATTCAGTAAGTAATTGCAAACTACTGAACATTAAATTGCATAGTGAAATCGCAAATAACCAACTAGTGCTGAGGTTGGTTCAGCAACATCCTGTAAAGGGGGAGCAACTAAGTTTTAGTAAGTAAATTTATAGTTTCATTTATTTACAACTTCTCTTGTTTATCTTTTTTTTTTCTAAGGTGTTGGGATGGGAATGTTGATTTGCTCTGGAATCGTCTGCATATACTACAATGTCATCATTGCATGGACTCTGTACTACTTGTTCTCATCATTCACCAAACTCCTTCCTTGGTCACACTGCAACAACAGCTGGAATACAGAGAAATGTGTTGATGATGAGAGGCAGAAAAATTTTACTGCTGCAGCGTCTGCTGTATCTAGTGGCATGAATAAAAGTATGTCTATGAACAGTGATGCTGCTTCGGCACTTGCAGTTGTGGTTAATGGAAGCAGACTCGTTTACATAGGAAACAATAAGAGTATTTCTGCCAGTGAGGAGTTCTGGGAGTAAGTATTGGTTGTCTTCTACTTCTTTTTCTTCATTTGTTTTGAAATAAATTATCTATATCTGCAATGTTGTCTCTAGTATAAACTTGACTGCCTTTTGTAATTCACTCAGCGAGCTGTAAAGTTTGACTTGCACCAATGTTTCTCTGATATTGATTGTGATGAAGATGATGATAATTGGGGGTGGGGAAGGGTGTGTGTGTGTGTGTGCGCGCATGCATGTGTGCATGCATGCATGCATGCGTGTGTGTGTGTGTGTCCATGCATGTGTACAGGTGTGCGTGCGTGTGTGTGTGTGTCCATGCATGTGTACAGGCGTGCGTGCAGGCGGGTGGGTGTATTTGATAATAATTATTACAGGAAGGTCAAAGTGAAATATTTTCTGCATTAGTGAAGTACGGGTGCACAATGTGCTATTTGAGTGAACTGAAGATGCCAGTTGTCTCGTGTGAGTAAATCTGAGATTCAACTTGACCTGTGTTAGTGAACTGGGATTTAACTTTTTCAGTGACAGGAAGGTGTTATTTTAATTTGTTCGAGCCTGAGCATTTGTTGTTCTTCTTCTTATAGTCAATGCTGTGTGGTGTTGATGGTATCTTGTCCATCTACAAATTCATCTCGTGTACTTTGAATCATTTCTGACACAGATGATCTTCCATTCCATGATGTCAGACTGTCCGGCATCTTCTCTCTTAGCTTCCCTCTACATCTTTTTCTCTCCAACTTTCCTCTACATCTTTTTCTCTCCAACTTTCCTCTACATCTTTTTCTCTCCAACTTTCCTCTACATCTTTTTCTCTCCAACTTTCCTCTACATCTTTTTCTCTCCAACTTTCCTCTACATCTTTTTCTCTCCAACTTTCCTATGCATCTTTTTCTCTCCAACTTTCCTCTACATCTTTTTCTCTCCAACTTTCCTCTACATCTTTTTCTCTCCAACTTTCCTCTACATCTTTTTCTCTCCAACTTTCCTCTACATATTTTTCTCTCCAACTTTCCTCTACATCTTTTTCTCTCCAACTTTCCTCTACATCTTTTTCTCTCCAACTTTCCTCTACATCTTTTTCTCTCCAACTTTCCTCTACATCTTTTCCTCTCCAACTTTCCCACCATCATAATGTACTCCAGTTTTCTCCTTATCACATGAATCAAGAATGTAGATTGCCTCTTTCTAATGTGGGTAATTAGTTCTCTTTGTATGTTAAAACATCCCTAATCATATAATCTATCTATTGTGTCTTCAAAATTTATTTATAAAACCTGCTTCCGAGTAATTTTTCGCCAATTGGCTAACTGTCCTTTAAGGCTAACAAATTAAAAATAATGAACAGTTAAAATCTTATTGAACATTTTCGTAAACAGTTTGTATTATTTGCTTACATTACAGGCGTCATGTTCTCGAACTGAGTGCTGGAATCGACACCCCTGGCACAATCAGATGGCAGTTGCTAATTTGTCTCGCTGTTGCCTGGCTTTGTGTTTTCTTCTGCCTGTTTAAAGGAGTTAAAATTCTAGGGAAGGTTAGCAGCATCTTTGTTGCCTTAAAATATAGTCCTATAAGTTTCTGTACATAGGAAAAATGAACATGTATACCACCAATGCTATTTCAAGCATAACTCTAGCTGTACTTATATAAGTTCTTCAGCAGTAAAAGACACACATTGAAACATGTTTTCAAAACAATGACAGTCGTGTAGAGCAGCAGTTTGCAAATTTTTTTTTAGCCGCGGCACCTTTATCAGGTAAAAAATGTTCACGGTATACCTACTTTTAAAGTGATTTGAATACTAAGGAAAAGAAGAAAAACAGTGCTTATTTAATGTTCACTTGTCTTTAACTCAATGAAACTGTTTGGATGAATTTTCAATTTTTTCCTTTATGTAAATGGGAAGTTCAGTTAATTTTACTCTCAAATCACTTGACCCAGAAAGTTTGGTCCTGTATCTGTTTTTCATGTAAGCTTTCGCTGAGAATGCACTACAGCCTTGCCAGAAGCATTGTCTTCTGAATGCCCTTGCATCCAGAACTTTTCTTGGCTTCCTTCATGTTGTTTCTGTTTTAAACTTCCGTCTTCGCTGATCTCAAGCAGATTTGGAAAAACTCTTTATTGCCGTGGCACCCCTGGCATACGCTCGCGGCACCCCTGGGTGCTGTGGCACCCAGTTGGAGGAACCTCTGATGCGGAGCATATTATACAAATAAAAATGGTTTCCATTAAAGAAAATGTCTATTTTTCCTATGTATGGAAACTTATTGGACACCCTGTAAAAATCTCTGGTGGCATCTTTTGGATTATGCAGTCAGTCTGACATGATGCACCAGTTGGTTTTCAAGTGAATATTGTAATGGCTGTCTATGCTAGCAAAGTGATCAGTTGAGTCTAACTATTTCAGCTACTTGGAGGATATCCTATCAAAAGAGTTTATTTTATCATAATACCACAAGAATTATTCTATTTATCCCAAGAAATGTGCCATGTCTGATCAGCTATTGACAATGTGTATTAAATAAATAGATGGTGTGTAATTATAATAATAACATTTGGTTTGAGCACACAAAAGAATCTGGCTAGATATTTTAATATACAGTACATCATATGTTACCACTTTGTAATTGATACACTAATTTTAGTTAATGGTAGTTGTTGTTTCCTTTGTGCATCTTCTATCCCGACAGTGGTATAGTATCAAGAGATAGAGACCAGATGAAGAGAGTCATAGACCTCCTGCATTTTAACTAAACTGAATTGAGTTAAGAAGCTTCTTCTTTTTTCTATTTCTTGTTCACCGGTTGTAAACTCTGGCAGAAAGGTTGGTTGTTCGTCTACTTCTGGACCTTAGTCCTGTTACAGAACTGAAGTGAGATGACTAACAAAAGCAGCAAACTTAAGCATCCAAGACAATATAAAAAATGATGCTATCAGATAGACTGTGGGAACAACATCATGCACCAGATTCATTGAGAAACAGAAGATCAAATGGTTTCGTCATCTCATCAAAATGTAGCCAAAACAACTAACAACACAGATGCTACATAGGAAAAGATATGACGTGAAAGCATGATGTGAGATCACCCCAGGAGAAGAGAGATTAATAACATTTAAGACTTTCTACATCAACAGAGAATGACCATAGCCATTACTACCTATCAATTTATAGATCACAAACTGTTCCTCCCCATGACACTTTAATGGCAAGAGTGCAAATTGATGATGACACAAATAACATTTGTAACAAGACAACAAAGGAAAAATTCAAATGGGAAATTCAAACATATTACCACAGATATATATTTTAGCCGCTGCTTAACCACAGCTGCCTATTTTATTTAATAATCAACAACAATATTACACAACAAACAACAGCATACAGTAATGAAGATAAACACATCTGTGACAGGTGATGCATTTTGCTGCGCCATTCCCCTACTTGATTCTCTTAATCCTGCTTGTACGTGGCTGCACCTTGCCTGGAGCTGTGGAAGGAATTCTCTTCTACATTGTTCCTAGGTGGGAAAAGCTGTTTGAATTTACTGTGAGTTGTTTGTTTTGAATTCAGTTTTTTTTTAATTGGTCCTAATGTTTAGTTAGAAATTAAATGTTGTAGTCTAGTATACTGAAATAGACTCCACTGTTGAAAAATCTTTATGATGCAACCAGGTGATTCTGTAAACTTTATTTATTCTAGCTGCGCTTGCAAATAATTCTTTTTGTATAATTTTATAAACTTTAACAGTTTTAAAACAAAAGTATATTAATTTTAAAACAAATTTATCAAGTTTAATTTAATTTTGTTAAGTTTCTATACACTTCTATAAGGTTATGCCAAATAACTGCCTTTACTATACCACTTTTGCAATGTTGGCAGGGGGGTCTTTGAGTCTGAGACTGATCGTAATGTCCAGTTGTATTTGTCTGTGTTCTCTCTTTTAATTTCCTCCATTGCTATTTCTAGTCACAGACTGTTGTATTCAGTTTTTTGTTTTCTTTTATTTTAAAATTATATGCTTGCCACTTTAATCACAAATGGGTTTGTAGAAAAGCATTTATATAAGTTATCTTCATAGTTTAGTAAATTATCTCTCTCATCATCTTAAAATAAAACACAGTACAAAAAAAATTAATGTCTTATGTTAATCTGACAGAAAAAAACCTTTGAAATTCTGGCAAGACATTTGTGCATTTTCTAGCTGACAGTTTACTTATCAAAGGTTGTACATGTAACTTTCACATCATAATATCCTGTTCAGCGGTAAGCATAATAGTTAGGATATTAGGTGTTCTTTGAGTTTTTTAATGAATATTTGTCCTCTTTTAACTCTATTTTTAACTCTATATCCATGTGAGAGTTTTGGGACCACATTGTGCGGAGAACAAGAACAGACCCACTGCCTACCTAGAAGTGTGTCATAAGAGTTGACTAGTTGGGAGCTTTCTTTGAAGTCAGAGTGCCTCTACCTGAGTGGCAAGGAACCAACAGTCTGCATACAAATAAGTCAGATCTATAAAATGGATGTGCAAGCAACACTTAGGTTCTGGAACCGGACTAGAGTCCAGAAGTGGACAAACAACCAGAACTTTCTGTCGGAGTTTACAGCCAGTGAACGCAAAGAAGAAGATGAAGAAGAATATTATCTGAAATAATTTCCTGTTCACACCTCTTAAAGTGTGATTATAACAGATCCTGAACAATGTGTATTTCTATAATCCTAATAACACTGTTTCATAGAATAGTAAATTTATGTGTCCTTCTTACAGCCATGGATCACCCTCACTAATTTTAACTGTTGAAGTAAATATTTTCAAAGATTACCAAAATGGGATAGAAAATTGCAGTTTAACTAATTAAATTTCTCACTAAGATAAAACAGCATACAAGAATTCTTGCAAATATGTTTTAAAAAAATAAAAAAATAAAAATTAAAGCTACAGTTTCTGCTGTTAAAAGTAATGAGTTCCTTTTCAGTTCCAGATTTAACAGAAGATGAGGAGAAAATAACTACTATGAAAAACAAATGAGAGTATTACTCTTAAAGATGATAAATAAAACATTGGAAGACAGATTCTTGCCTGATTAATTGAAAAACATAAGAAAACATGGATAATTCAGTAGCACAGGCACAGGTGGTTAAAACCAGCATGAACAATGAGTATGGTGACAACTGAAGTTACTGAACCAGTCATCACAAAGGATCATTTGGCAATTATAGATACCCACAACCCAGCTTGAAAACCTGAATATACTTGAGAATGTGTAATGTGTAGTGATGTCTTAGTCTTAATCTTAATCTTAGTCGAGGTTTCAACATCACTGCAATCAGGTTTCCCCATACTGCTCCATAAAGAAGAAGAAGAAGAAGAAGAAGAAGAAGAAGAAGAAGAAGAAGAAGAAGAAGAAGAAGAAGAAGAAGAAGAAGAAGAAGAAGAAGAAGAAGAGGAGGAAGAGCTGTAAGAAGAGGAGGAGTAGGAAGAGAAGGAAAAAGAGGAGGAGGTGGATGAAGAAGAAGAGGAGGAGAAAAAGGAGGAAAAAGAGGAGGAGTAGGAAGAGGAGCAGAAGCAGGAGGAGGAGCAGGATGAGGAACAGGAAGAGCAGGAGAAGGAGGGTCTGTTTAAAATCAAGATTGCCTTGAGTAAAAAATGGTGAAGTCTGGTATTTAGCTTACCCACTAACCTGTTTGTGTGTCTTTGTTAAAGGTCTGGGGTGATGCAGCACTTCAGATCTTCTACTCTGTTGGAATGGCCTGGGGAGGAATCATAACGATGGCGTCCTACAACAAGTTTAATAACAATGTCTACAGGTATGATATTTTAATTAGTTCTAGGCAATGTGTGGAAGTCAATGGGAATTAAAGCTAATAATAAATTAAAGCTTTTTAAATCTAATGTTAAATCAGTACTGTTGTGTGGAGCAGAAACATGGAAAACAACTAACATCATCATCATCATCAGTTCTCGTTATGCCTAGTGGCTTCAGAAAGGACTTTCCATGCTTTCTTGTCCTGTGCAATCTTCAGTGCAGTTATCCATGTCAAAGATGTCCATCATGGGCTTCCTGAACAACTAAAATAGGTGCTATTAAACTAAACATTCATTAACTGGCCCTTGACTGGATGAAATAAAATGGTATAATAAAATGACTCATTTTGAGCTTTATTTTGATAAATAAACAAAGTTTAGTGAAACAAGAGGGAAAGAAGTGATGCTGACATTGGATATGACACACCTTGGGAAAATCTAAACATTCTTACTGATGAAAAATAGTTTACTAAGGTATAGGAGGAGGGGAGGGGAAGGGGGAGAGGTGAGCATGTTAAAATGTTATGCAGAACATATACTGCTGAACGCATCTGAGAATAGACCAAAAAAGCACACAAGCTTCTAGCAGCAGCAGAAATCTGGTTTCTGAGAAAAATGCAAAAAATAAGTCAGTCCATAAAACAGATGAAAGTCATGCATTTATTAGATAAATTAAGTAACAGAAAGTATTGTGAACAGCACTCATAGAAAGAAGTAGAAAGGTAGAAGAACACACTAGACAACATAAAAATCGAAAGCTATAGTTACCGTGCCGGGAATTGAACCTGTCACCTCCAGACGGCGTCTGCGCCTCGCCATGAATACAAGTGCACAAGTTTATTTAGATAAATTAAGCGTAAACATTAAAGATTTACTAAGCTTGTTATTATGTTGTTGTTGTTGCTGTTCAACCCAACCAGGACCTACAATGAGCGACCAACACCTTGTGACACAAAGTACCATCATTCAGATGAGAATCACCCGGGCACATGTCCTAAAAACCCCGTTCAACCCAAAGGATGAGTTACATTAAGGCTCCTGACTAATGCCGAAATTGGGCTTTAAAATCAGGAAAAACTACGCTCTTTATTGGGATGCTTAGCTGTTATTTATATGTAGCTTGTTATGAAAATAAATCAACTTGATAACCCAGTGAAATTAGCAAGCTTGTTGGGGGAAAAAGCAAAAGAATGGTAGTGAGATAAAACCATGGCTGACTTAGCCACATGGATCTGAAACTGGTTATCATGTTACTATTCTTCCTCTGCATTCATCCTTAAAAGAACAGTTGACCCAATGTGTAGTGATCGACAGCTAGGCTGCAATATCTGCATCTTTAGTTTTGCACACACATCCATTTTACAGATCTGGCTTATTTGAATGCAGACTGTTGGTTCCTTGCCTCTCCGGCAGATGCACTCTTGACTTGAAAGGAAACAGCCCTATTTAGTCACCTCTTACAGCATGCTTTTTAGGAAGACAGTGGGTCTATTCTGTTTCCCTCACTATGGGACACCAGGATCCACACGGGGAACATTATGGTTGACATGAGATATTAAAGATGTCAATGGCAGAAAAGCTTTTGAGGCAAGAAAGTTAGCAAGGGGACATGGTGGCTTTTAATGTGAGCATCAGTCCGCAAAGGAGCTGATATGTGATGATAATATGGGAAATGATTTTGACAATTTAGAATAGACAAAGTAAGGAGTAAGTCAAGGATGTGCTTAGTTATCAGATCTTTTCTCTCAATATAGCACCAAAAAAAGAATGAGAGCTGGAAGTTACAAATTAACATGTGGCACTATGCAGATGACAATATTGGTAACTAACAATTTACAGTATCTGCAACAACTTGTAAGCTGAAATAATAGAGCATCATTAAAGAACTTTACTTGAATAAATGTTTTTTTTCAATCTTGGAACTGAAACCTGAACATTCAGTTAGAAATGGCAAACTACTGAACATACAATTACCTGTTAAAACCAAAACAGCCTACAATTGCAGGGGTTTGTTATGCAATGTCCAGCACAGGATATACAGCTAACTTTTTAACTTATGTAATGAGTACCTGCTAATTGTTTATTTATCTATCTTTATTTATCTATTATTTTTATTTCGTCTGTAAGTCACTGTTATGTTTCTATTACAACAGAGATGCCATGTTAGTTCCATTCATTAATGAAGGAACAAGTCTTTTTGCTGGATTTGTCATCTTTTCCGTTCTTGGTTTTATGGCACATGAAGCAAACACAGATGTGGATAAAATTGTTACACAAGGTAGATATTGGATATATAATTTTTTGTATTTAATTTTTAGTTTAGTGTAGTGCTGGGAGATGGATAATTTTCTTGGTTATGTAGCCTGTCATCAAGGAAAATTGGCTAATAAACAGCATCCTGTCTGAGAAGCTAAAATATTTTGGTCATATCAAGCGTCACGACGGATTGGAAGAAAATTATAGCAGAAGGCATGGTACCAGGAAGGAGGGGCTGACCAATGTGAAGATGGGCACAGAATATAAATGACTCCTTGAGTATGAAAGTACATGAGGTGGGAGAGCTGGCAAGAGACCGAGTTTCTTTCAGGCAGACTGTGATGAGAGTGACGTTCTGCAAAGGACCTGCTACATGTAGCCTGTGTTGATGACCTCTGTTGGTGAATCCTTTGGTGGTCAGGTCGTTTTAGTCAAGAATCGGGTTTGCGTCCATCTGAGTGAAGTTGGTGTAGAAACTTTGCTTCCAACCCAGTAGTAAGTTAGAGCTGCCATAATGTAGTGACTAGATGCAAAAAAAAGTCATGGGTTCAAATCTGCATGTCACTTTGTGGGTTCATGGGCCTTATTATGAGGAAATTGAGAATAGACCCACTAGCTCCCCAACAAACATGTCGTAAGAGTCGACTAATTGGAGGCATCCTTTGTAGTTGGAGTGCATCTGTCTGAGGGGCAAGGAACCAAAAGCCTGCATACAAAATAAGCCAGATATGTGAAATGGATGTCCACGCGATACTCAGGTTCTGCAACAAGACTAAAGTCCGGAGGTGGACGATCACCCAGAACTTTCTGCTGGAGTTTCAGCCAGTGAACAGGAAGAAGAAATCTTTGTAGAGTCAGATTTCTTCATGCATGACCTTGGCTCCCAGATCAGTCTAGCCTTGAATGAGTACCAGATGAAATCCTAGGAAGTAGAGGTGGTGACATCATGTTGGCCACATGACCCATTGAGGGCTGATGTTGACCAAATGACCCATTGAGGGCTGATGTTGACTACATGACCCATTGAGGGCTGATGTTGACTACATGACCCATTGAGGGCTGATGTTGACTACATGACCCATTGAGGACTGATGTTGACTACAGGACCCATTGAGGGCTGATGTTGACTACATGACCCATTGAGGGCTGATATGTCTATAAAAATACGGGTCTAGCTTCAAATATATGTAAAGGGAATTTACTTTACTTTACTTTTACTTTTCTTTACGTTACCATACTTTACTTTACTATACTATACCTTACCATACTTAACTTAACTTAACTTTACTTTACTTTTACTTTACTTTATTTTACTTTACTTTTACTTTACTTTTCTTTACTTTGCTTTACTTCACTTTCCTTTACTTTACCATACTTTACTATACTTTACTTTTCTTCACTTCACTTCACTTTACATGTCGACTGCTTTATTTGTCACCAGCTGTAAACCCCGGGAGAAAGACCTGGTTGTTCGTCCATTCCTAGACTTAGGCTTTGTTACTGAATTTTAATGTGCATTCCTTTTACAGATTTTGCCTATTTATATGCAGACTATTAGTTCCTTACTTGTCAGGCAAATGCACTCAGACTTTGAAGGAAGCCCTTAATTAATCGACTCTTATGACATGCTTGATGGGGAGGCAGTGGTTCTATTCTTGTTTTTTCCCACAAAGGGACCCAGGAACCCAATGTCGACTGTGTTATAGAACCTTTCTTCCATTCACCAAGCTAAAAATCCAATGGTGGAGGCACAATCAGTACTGGAACATCACATCTGTGGAAAATAATAATTTGATGTAATGAAATAATTCATGACAGCACATATGGGCTGAACTTAGGCCTAGTTTGGTCATGTTTCCTTTATGTGTTTTGGGTATTTCATTGTTAGCAGACTCCCATCTAATCCAGGTCACATATAATGTAAAAGTAAAGAAAAGAAAAGGTGAGGAACTAACATTCGGCTTAGAAATAAGCCAGATCTGTAAAATGGATGTGCGCACATAACTCAAGTTCTAGAAAAAAGACTATGTCTAGAAGTGGATGAACAACCAAAACTATCTGTCAGGTTTACAGCCAGTGAATGGGAAGAAGAAGAAGAAGAAAGCTTTCTATTATTTTGTTTCATTGCCTTTCTCCCCAGGACCAGGTTTAACATTTGTAGCATACCCAGAAGCCATAGCCAAAATGCCGTTATCACCCTTGTGGGCAGTGCTATTCTTCATTATGTTGTTCATCATTGGTTTAGACAGCCAGGTAAGTAAACTCCCTATGGGCTTTGGGCTGCATTCTGTTGACTTTGACATGCAAGGATTTTTATCATAGCAGCAATTCTCTGTTTAGTAGGATTTGTAAAGGACATTTAAAAAGATTGACTATTAAACCCGATGTTTATTAACTCTTTGAGTCCCAGGGGGTTTAGCACCACAGGCCCAGGGGGGTAGTAAAGAAGTAATAAAATCGGCACATCATGCGTTCATTGGGCTTCTAGGTAGGAACCTATAATTGTATGTTGCATTCCTTGGGACTCAAAGAGTTAAATGGTATTTTGAACTAATTTGTCACTGAGTAGGACTTTGGCTCAATGGGCTTTTAATTGTTTCGCTCTAAAGCAGTAAGTACTTCAGCCTTTTTTATTCCTCATGGAGTAGGGTTTAAATTGTTGGCAATAAATACAGTAAAACTTTGAATAACCATCACTCATTTAACTGTCAGTTTTTGTTATCCATCATCATCTTTAAACAAATTAAAAAACAAAAAAACAATTGAGTGGAATAAACTCTTACCTGAACCTACTAACAAAACTGAATGAACTAAGACTGTAATTGTTGACAAATCTGTGCAACAGTGTAGGACTGAACAGTGAAAATATTAAGCCAGAAGTAGTAACTGATTGGATGGAATGTGACAAAATTGGATGGAGCCTTTGAAATTCTTAACGATGACAAAATTTGTTCTAGTGTAACTGCCATTGAAGAAAAATAAATTGACATTGGTGGAGGATTAGTTCTTAACCAAAGCCTACAACAAGCCACTCAAAAGCAGAAACAATGTTATCAAAGGAGATCAGCTGGTTTAAAATGTCAAGAGGAGGCAAATATAACACAGATCCCACTTCTGCATAAGATTCCGAACATCACCATGCAGAAAGCTCGAGCCTTAAAGACACGGAAGGAGATGACAAATTATTTTAAAGTAGTGTAGGTTTGTCGTATTACAATACATTTCTGTATATTACCACTCTTATGTTACAGTCTGTATTGATAGTTTTGTAAAATGTAAAACAAAATGTATGCATATATTAATTACTTTTAACGGATTTTATTTTCATTTTCGTCCAAAACTTGTAGTTAAATCACGATACTGTACATATGTATTACGAGATTTCACTTATCTGTCTGTTTGGTTATCCATCACAGCCCTGGTCCAGACAGTTATGGTTAACTGAAGTTTTACTGTACTTAGATCTGAAGGCAGTCAACAGACACTTTGGTACAGTACAGAAGTAGTTAAACTAATAATTCAGCTAAAAAGAGTTAACATATTGACTGTCTGTGATCAGAAGATAGCATGGACATCATATTATCTTTGGAAATACCATGTATAGTGAGTTGATTGATACTGAAGAATTAATTAATGTGTTGTTGAGTAGCTCTTTTATTCCAAGACATTTGAGTGAACAAAAATTTGTTCAGTAGGCATTGCACTCTGTGGATATTTGGGTGCTTTATTAATATCCTACCCCAAATAGCGGTTATCCGAAGGTCACGGGATGGTCTAATATTTCAGGTAGATAGGCTGCATGCAGTCGTGGGATCTAGGCTGCATTCTCTCATGGGACGTAGGTGGGTTAGGGTTAGGGCCAGTTCTAGATGTTTTGAGGTTGTTAAAAGCATCAGCAAGCCGGGAAACCCAGTCTTACCACCCTTAAAAATGTTGGGCTGTTCTGTGACATCATCTGGGATAGCATATTATTCAAGCACCAATATTTGAATTGTTTCATCATTTAGTAGGACATGGTTTTAATAAGCATTGCTGACTCATGCTTTGAGTGCCAAACATTTTCCACTTATTGGTTACTTATCACTGCAACTGTGGAATTTGCTGTCAGATTCACTGCCAGTCAGACTAAAGCCTGTAATAAACATATATGCATCACAAGAATATTATTATCAGATATTCTCAGTGTGTGTCCTATCCGGTGCAGCATCTGTTCCTAACTTCTTGATTCCATGGAATATGTTTAATTCCCTCCTAAAGTTTCATATTAGGGATTTTGCCATACCATTTACTTTTCTCTACTTTCTGCAGGCACCATTTAATAAATGTTTGAAGTTCATCAATTGTTTCAGTGACCATATTTCCTGCTGATCCAATTTCTATGCTTTTTAATACTGGCTGTTTGGATAATAAATGAAATCATTATAAAGACTTTCGGTAGCTCCACACTGAGAGTTTTCCAGCCTACTGATTGTACACTGCTAGCCCACATTGTGACTATGTGGTCCACAAGAAAGGATGTTTGGGATGTCTCTTCAATCAGTATCTGACCTGAGGACCCTTACAGACCATGCATTCCATTCTTGATAAATAATAAATTCATTAAAAATCAACAGATGAGATGGTTTGGCCATGTGACAACAGTACCCTGGTATCAAAAGCCACAGAAAGCCATATTGAACAAATACAGTAAACACAGAGAGCCATATTGAACAAATACAGTAAACACAGAGAGCCATGCTGAGCAAAAACAATGAACACAGAACAAGGCAAATTACCACACAAAAGCTGTTATAATGGCATCAAAAGCAGCCTCAAAGGATGAAGATCATCTTATACAATGTATTTAAAACGACACACAGAAGATCCTTATATCTCCCTCCAACCTCTTGATGAGGTACTGGAGGAGGAGGAAGAGGAGACGGTAGAAGAAGAAGGAGGAGAAGAAGAAGGAGGCAATATAATAAAAATATTTGATCTTACAAGAATAAACCTGCATTACATTAGAATCATAACTGTTTGACCAAACTAATCTCTAACACATGAATCATCTCATAAAGAAGTAAAAAAGGAATGATGAAACCATCAGAATGGTGACCTGCCTGCTGTAAAATATCTTGTATGTATTTGCTTTCTATTTTCTGTCAATAGTTTGGCATGTTTGAAACTATTCTGAGTGGCATTACAGATGAATACCCTCACCTCCTGCGGAGGAAGAAGGTCACAATCACAGCTCTGGCTTGTTTTGCTGAGTTTCTGCTAGGACTTCCCTGCATCACCCAGGTAACACAGACCTAGCAGGTTTGTATGGATGTCAGAATGAGTTTCAGTTTGTATGGATGTAAGAATGAGTTCCAGTGTGTATTAATGTAAGAATGCGTTTCAGTGTGTATGGATGTAAGAATGAGTTCCAGTGTGTATGGATGTAAGAATGAGTTCCACTGTTTATGGATGTAAGAATGAGTTTCAGTTTGTATGGATGTAAGAATTAGTTTCAGTATGTATGGATGTAAGAATGAATTCCAATGTGTATGGATGTAAGAATGAGTTTCAGTATGTATGGATGTAAGAATAAGTTCCACTGTGTATGCATGTAAGAATGAGTTCCACTGTGTATGCATGTAAGAATGAGTTCTAGTATGTAAGGATGTAAGAATTAGTTCCAGTGTGTATGGATGTAAGAATGAGTTCCAGTGTGTATGGATGACAGAATGAGTTGTAGTGTGATTGGATGTAAGAATGAGTTCTGGTGTGTATGCATGTAAGAATGAGTTCCACTGTGTATGAATGAGTGCCAGTGTGTATGGATGTGACAATGAGTTCTAGTGTTTATGGATGTCAGAATGAGTTCTAGTGTGTATGGATGTAAGAATGAGTTCCACTGTGTATGAATGAGTTCCAGTGTGTATGGATGTAATAATAAGTTCCCATGTGTGTGCATGTAAGAATGAGTTCCAGTGTGTATGGATGTAAGAATGAGTTTCAGTGTGTATAGATGTAAGAATGAGTTCCAGTGTGTATGGATGTAAGAATGAGTTCCAGTGTGTATAGATGTAAGAATAAGTTTCCGTGTGTATAGGTGTAAAAATGAGTTCCACTGTGTATGGATGTAAGAATGAGTTCCAGTGTGTATGGATGTAAGAATGAGTTCCAGTGTGTATGGATGTAAGAATGAGTTCCAGTGTGTATAGATGTAAGAATGAGTTCCAGTGTGTATGGATGTAAGAATGAGTTCTAGTGTGTATGGATGTAAGAATGAGTTTCAGTGTGTATGGATGTAAGAATGAGCTCCACTGTGTAACAATGAGTTCCAGTTTGTATGGAAGTATGAATGAGTTCCACTGTGTATGGATGTAATAATGAGCTCCACTGTGTATGGATGTAAGAATGAGTTCCAGTATGTATGGATGTAAGAATGAGCTCTAGTGTGTATGAATGTAAGAATAGGTTCCAGTGTATATGAATGTAAGAATGAGTTCCAGAGAGTATGGATGTAAGAATGAATTCCAGTGTATATGAATGTAAGAATGAGTTCCAGTGTATATGAATATAAGAATGAGTTCCAGTGTGTATGAATGTAAGAATGAGTTTCAGTGTTTATGGATGTAAGAATGAGTTTCAGTGTGTATGAATGTAAGAATGAGTTCCAGTGTGTATGGATTTACGAATGAGTTCCAGTGTGTATGAATGTAAGAATGAGTTCCACTGTGTATGGATGTAAGAATGAGTTCCAGTGTGTATGAATGTAAGAATGAGTTCTAGTGTGTATGGATGTAAGAGAGAGCTCTGGTGTGTATGGATGTAGGAATGAGCTCCGGTATGTATAAATGTAAGAATGAGTTCCAGTGTGTATGAAGGTAAGAATGAGTTTCAGTGTATATAGATGTAAAAATGAGTTTCAGTGTATATGGATGTAAGAATAAATTCCACTGTGTATGGATGTAAAAATGAGTTTCATTGTGTATCAGATGTGAATGATTTGGTATTTTATTACACTTCTGTCACCACTTTGGGTGTCAAACAATTACTCCTGCATCTTCACCTTCAGACAGAACTATAATACATAATTAATTAACCATGTATCACGAAAAGGCTTCAAATGATTGCTTGTTACAGTATGGCATTTCATGTGGCCTGCTTTCCATTTTATCTGATTGAACCACAGTTGCATGTTAACACTGAGTATTAAGTGGGCATGGAATATGTAAGTAACAAGTACAGGACCCTTTTCTATGCCTTTACGGCTAGAACTATTTTTTTTAGACCAATCGACACAAGATGGGTGATGTGGTCAGCATCATGCCGGCCGCCTTTACTTCCCGGGACTGCACCCGGTACCCACTCAAGGATGGGTTGACCTGAGAGCCAAGGTCATTTTTAAATAAAGTGTGGCTCCCCCAGGGAACAAACCCAGGCCCGCGGTGAGCATATGAAATATGAACAAATATGAACAAATACAGTGAATGGAAAGAGCCATGTTGAACAAATACAGTGAACAGAAAGAGCCATGTTGAACAAATACAGTGAACAGAAACAGCCATGTTGAGCAAATACAGTGAACAGAAACAGCCAAGTTGAGCAAATACAGTGAACATAGAGAGTTCTGTTGTTAAAATAAATATTTTCATTATATAGCAAAATGACAGGGACAGGTAACAGTGTCCTTATGTTAATTCTTGTCCAGGGTGGTATCTACATACTGCAGATCATGGACTGGTACTGTGCAAGCTTCTCCCTTATGCTCATTTCAATGACAGAGTGTCTAGCATTGTCCTGGGCTTATGGTATGTTTCTATCATTAGTTAAAATATACACTGTATATTATTTTTTAAACTGTTCTTTGGCCACATAATGAGAAGAGAGACATTAGAGAACATTGTGACAACTGGAAAGATCAGTGGAAAAAGGGGGCAGAAGCAAACCAGGAGAGATGCTGCTGGATGGGCTGAGATGATGGCATGGAGGGATATCATCAAAAGAGCTGTTCGAATCAACCAGGGATCGTGATCTGTGGAGACTCATGAGCGCCTACGCCAGTTGGCAGGGCACATAAAGATGATTATATTTTTAAAGAACATTTTTAACAGAAATCAGTATCTTATTCTTCCCCTGCTTGCCGACTGTAAACTGTGGCAGAAAGTCCTGGCTATCAACACTTTCTGGATGTTGGTCTCATGCCAGAACTTAAGTTTTATGTTCACATCTGTTTTATACATCACACTTAATTACGTGCAGACTTAGGTCATCATCTCTCAGGTAGATGCATCTGACTTCAAAGGAAACAAGTCTAATTAATTACTTTTTACAACATACTTGTTCGACCAGTGTTTCCCAAACTTGTTTTTAGTTGCGGTCCTTTTTTTAAATTAAAATTGTTCCTTGGTCCCTCAACCTAAGTAAAAGTATGACTATTCCAATGTAAGAGGTTGGTTTCCTCAATTCTCAGAAGAAGTCTGATTATATGTTCATCTCGCCCTTTCCCCTGAGTACTGGACAGGTTTCCTGGTCACTCTCTGCTGCACAATTCTCTTCAGACCAAATTGAATGATAAATAAGTATTGATCTGCATTCATAGAAATATAAAATTGCCAGTCACTATGGCAGAAAGGCAAGTAAGACATTTTTTTTTAAGTCTTGACAAGTTTTTGGTTTTGACAATAATTTGCCATTGCATTTTCCTTCATATCTAGACTGAAAGGGTAAAGTTCCATCGCCGAGCTACTGAATTGAATGTATTGCATGACACTATGAGCTGCAGATTTCATTTGGAATACTATTTGAATGTGCCAAAAATGGTTTGTAATGTGAATTGCAGTTTCATAAAATGGCAAGAGGCCTGTTGTTACAGAACTGGTCGTGCCTTTTGCGATTAATTGCTTGTGCAACTATGATCTATGCTGGCTCCATTGATGATTGAACTGCATTTATAGGGTAGTGTTGCTTGTGTCGGTACTTTCGATAGCTGCTGTATTCATTTAATGCATGTGTATGCTATTGGATTTGTTGACAATAGAGCCTGCTGAAATTTTTTTTTTTTTTAAAGTGACAGTGGTAGACCATGACTGGCTCCAGATGACGGGCCTTGCTGCTGACGTCACCGGGTCAGGCTAACGATGCGTTAGCGCAGTGGTTCTCAAACAAGAAATAAACTATTTTCGACAGTGGCAAGGGAAGACAACTTAAATTTTAACTTTTAATATCCACGTCTTTAATATTTTCACAATTTTTAGCCAATTTTTCTTGAATATTACCGCGGCACCCCTGGTATACGCTCACGACATCCAGGGTGCCTCAGCACCCAATTTGAGAACCCCTGCGTTAATGCATTGTTAGTCTGACTCAGCAGCATGGCCAGTCAGCTGGAGCCTGTCATGGATAGACATTTTATATGGTTTTCATTGGAACAGGAAAGCAGTTCAGCAGCAATGGGGTGACTTGTTTGCTATGAGGTTGGAACTGTTATTACCTGTGTGGTCAATCAAACGTTAGTCTCCCCACGGGAAGTGGGTTTTGTTCCATTTATAGGTTTGTTGGACTAGTCTACTATGGTCGAGGTTATGGGTGTGGCACTTTGTTGTTGTCTTGCATTTATGTTTTTATTCCGAGAAAGAGACTGCCTATGACATAGGTTTTGTCACTCTCTAAAAGGGTTGTGTGTTAGACCCAGTTGTCGATGTTTTTTGGAGTGTTAAGAGTGCCGGCATGGTGAAATATACAACACTCGAAATCAACGGCTGTGCGGAACACCCTCATCACTTTGTGTGAAAGTTGGGTGGCTAAAGGCTGAGCAATCAGAAGTGAGGTAGAATGAAGGTCGACCAATCAAAAGTGAGCTAGTGTGTACAGGTATGTAGAATGGGGGGACTAACATTTCATTTACCACCTGTTTTATCATTTAAGGTGTTGATCGACTTTACAAGGACATTGCTTTAATGATTGGCTACAAACCACATTTTTGGTGGAAGTATATGTGGAAATATATCACACCTGGAGTTATAATGGTATGTTGTTTGAGAGTTACGATAGCATTTATACTTTTCAAACCTGATTCAGTCTCAGACATTGTTGCCACAGCATGTTCATTTTTTAACTGTTGTTTTGGTTTCTTCAGTCTCATAAAAATGTTTTTGTAATTCCATTTTAAAATGTGAACAAATAAGAGAAAATAAAAGAATTGTCGGGACAACCATTTGTGTACACAATTATAAAACATGGAAGGTTGTAACATACTGGGTCCATCATGAGAAGAAGTGGACAGAGAATCACCAGACAGGCACAGAAATGGGGAACAAATGAGGATACAAGGACATGCAAAATAAACTGTAGAGTTATGTTGAAAGATAAATTTCAGATACACTGACTGGATTTAGTCTCCCCATGTAGGTTTAGGGACCCCATTTTTGGTTGAGGTTGGGGGGGGGGGGGGGAGGAGGATAGACCCACTGCTTCCCTATAAAGCATTTTTTAAAGAGACAACTTCTTCTTGTGTTCACTTTCTGATTTACACTGACAGACAGGTTTTTATGATAAAATTGACTGTTTTTAGGAGTTTCCTTTTAGTTCCATACAGCTTTGAGTGCAGTGTTGAGTCAGTGGGCCAGTATTCCTTTCTTAATAGGCTGTACAAGGGACACTCTTGCAGGACATGTTCTGTAGTCTGCACACACAGCCCCCATAGGCACAATGGTGAACTACTTAGATGTAGCTTGTGTATATGCTGGTTAAGTTTTTTTATGTCCTGTCTTGAGGCGTAGAATAATGTGTTCACTTCTGATAGACTGGACGGCCCCTGTTCTTCTCATAATAAGCTACTGCATTCTGCTCCTTTCTTAGCAAGTTTATCTGCACTTTCATTTCCTGGTATACCACAGTGGGGTGGCACCCACTGGAGTACAGTAGACTTTTGGGCAACCACCTTGCCAAGTTCAGATCTCAGGTGAGGGAGTTTACCACTCTTGAGGGCTTGATGCACCGATAACAAATCTGTGAAGATGACCACTTGGTGGCACTCAGAACTGGTGTTGTGTAACATTTCAGCAGCCTGCTCTAGTGCTAGGATCTCTGCTGTATAGTTGGAACAGAATTTACCTGTGGGCATATAATTAGTGTGGTGGTGGTTGTCTCGGTATCTGATAAGGACACCTGCATCCCCATTTTTAACCACACTGGTTGCTGATCCATCCATGCAAGCATGTATCCACGACTGTTCGGGACAGTTTTCTTGAATCATACTAAGAGCAGCTGTTCATTTTTGAAGGTCACTGGACAGCTGTGAGTCCACTGTGATTGACTGAAGTCATAATCTGTATTGTGTTGCTGATTTGCTCCCAAAGTAAAGGATATAGGGTAGGTTTCAGCGATGTTGTTCTCATAGGTAGATCTGCTCGATACTGACTTCTAAGTCTTTTCCCCCAATGTACAAAGCTGCTACATTTGAAACGCCCAAATGCCAGATCATCTAATCTTGCATTCATTGGATGTGACTACATACTATTAAACGTCTCCATCAGGATCATAGTTTTAGTATCTCTTCTATAGGGCAGTGTCTGAACTGCAGTTATTTTTTGTATGTCCAGGATTCGTGCAGTTTTCATGGATCCTGTGATGAGTCTAAGGGCTTGAGTTCTGCACTCTGTCTAACGATTGTAGATGGGAATTAGCAGCTGATGACCATGCTGTTGCACCAAGTGGGGTCTTATTGCTCCATTAAGAACTCCCCAACTTGTACCTGACAGTTTTTTAAGTAGCCCTAGTCGTCTCTTGGTCTTCCCTTCTACATTTTTTATATATTTGCTCCATGTGAGCCTTTTATCAAATGTTACTCCAAGATAAGTGGGAAGCTTTCTTCCTTTAGCAAGGAGGTTCTTATGTGAATAATAGTAGCTTTGTCCCTGGGGGAAAGAGAAAAAAAAAAAACGTGAATGTTTTGTCTGTGTTGATCACAACATGCAATTTTTCTGCCCATGTCATTAAAAGATCTGTTGCTCGCAGCATTCTTACATTCTTACATTTCACAGGAGGTGAAAACTGTTTGATTCCTACTCTTTCCGGTACCTCAGTGTTTGTGATTTTTGTATAGCCTCTAAATGCCAAACAATTTTAAGCAGTAATATGACCTTACCCATGTTCCACCAGGGCCCTTAGAGGAAGCAAAAGATTGAGCAGAGTGGCAATCTTCGCTGGAAATTTCACGGGTAGTGAGCATACTTGGGATCTTTTCTCCGGGCTATGTCTGCATGGTGGGTAATGAACAAGCACTGGGTGGTGAATTGATACATGACAAGGCAGATGTGGTCAAGGCCCTTTAGGAACAAGTAACGGAATCAGTAGAGAAAGAAGATTTTTATGGCCTGGAGAGAATGGGGCACCTGGGGGTAACCAGAGGGTCTGGCCGGCTCACTACACTCAGAGAAAAGGCAAGACAGACATAAAACCAGATTGTGATTGGTACCATAAGTATTGGAATACTGTGCTGGCTGCTGAAAATGAGGATGGAGCATGCATGGGAATGCCCCGAGTGCTGTGATGTCAATTGTTGACTCAAATCAACTTAACTCAGGAAGCATAAGAGGAGTGACACTGGAAACTATTATGCTGTGAGGTGACTTAGATGGATTGGTTTTAACAGGGGTATCGAGTGCTATTCATTCACAAAGCCTCTATCCATTCACAAAGCCTCTATCCATTCACAAAGCCTATCAAACCACTGAACGTCAGATTGCCAAGTGAAATCATAAACAGCCACAAAATGCTTATGGTGTTGGTTCTGCAATGTAAAGGACATACAACTGATGGTGTTGGTTCTGCAATGTAAAGGACATACAACTGGTGGTGTTGGTTCTGCAATGTAAAGGACAAACAGCTGGTGGTGTTGGTTCTGCAATGTAAAGGACATACAACTGGTGGTGTTGGTTCTGCAATGTAAAGGACATACAACTGGTGGTGTTGGTTCTGCAATGTAAAGGACATACAACTGGTGGTGTTGGTTCTGCAATATAAATTTTAATAATTTTTTTAAAGATGGATACATATGAGTCTGGCTACATCCCATTCTTTGAAAAAACTTTAGCTGCAAAATCCAACTAACCTGAATAGGTCTACAGAGGTCTTGATGTGAATCTTTGGAAGGTCTATGATCCATTGGCAGATGAAATGCAGCAGCTGAAGATAAAGTAACAGCAGAAAAAGGTGAAGTGGAAAAACAAGGAAGAGAAGTAGAATATGAATGATGAAGAAAGCTTAGGAAAAACATAAAAGAAAGTAGTTATGATGACACCACTAGTTTCTTGATGTAATCATTGTCCACACACTTGTATCACTTGTGGGATTAACCAACCACAGGAATTGTTGCCTGTAAAAATTTTAATTAATTCCAACGTACCGTGATCGAAACCCACTGCTAGCTGTGTGGATTTTTATCATGGTATGGGGTGTCGCAGGTCGACCCAGCCTAAAATTAGTACCAGGATGTATGCCCGGGGAAAGTAAAGACGGCCCACGTAATACTGACCACATTACCCACCTAGTTCCGATTGGTCTGTAAAAATATGGGTGTTCTTCCTATATGCCTGATGCACATAAAGGCATGAAAAAGGATCTTTACTTTACTTTACTTAATGATAATTTTAATGATCTGCTGTTTGTTACTAAAATTTTTATAATCCTGCTTTCTTCTTTCAGTTTATATGGATCTTCAGCGTTATAACCCTGGGCCCTGTAACATACGGCGATAATTATTCATACCCACCCTGGGCAATTGCTTTTGGTTGGATACTGGGCATCCTGGCTGTTGTGCCCATCCCAGTTGTTGCTGCTGTACAAATTTACCACGCTAAAGGGCCAATTTTGAAAGTAAGTCACTTATAAAGATATTTACTGAAAATTCGTATGTGAGGTTCAGAGGAAACATTTCATGTATGCTTTATAGACTACAAGAAACCATGCAACATCCCATCATGAAGAGAAATTAGAACAAGTTACAAGTGTCTCCTGGACTTTTAATAACAGATGCTGGCAGAAGTGAACTAGAAGAAAACAAAAAACAAAAAGAGAACCAAAATTGCAGTTTAATCAGCTGCAGGCAACCTGACTGATTGATTGATAGAGATTTGAACTTATGACTATAAGTCTGTCCAACAGCCAAACATGATAGTTGCTGGAGTTCTCCATTTCTCATTCTCCATTCCTCTATTTTAGAAAAATATAATGTAAGAAAAGACACAAGGTTTAAGATTCTTCTTCTTCTCTTTTTTCTTAGTGTTCACAGGCTGTAGACCTTGGTGAGAAGTTTTAGTTATTCCTCCTCTTCTGGACTTTATTCCAGAACATGAGTTCTTATGTGCACATCTGTTTTACAGATCTGGTTTATTTGTATGAAGACTATTGGTTCCTGAGCTTTCAGGCTGATGCACTCTGACTTTGAAGGCAACATCCATAATTAGTCACATTCTACAACATGTTTGTCTGTTAGAGGGGCAGTAGGTCTATTCTCCGCACCCCTTTCCCCTCCCCCAAAGATCCCTGATCCGCATTGGGAGGTTAAGATTAAAGAAAACATCTCCCGCGTGGGTTCAAGGGCCCCATTGTGGGGAAAACAAGAATAGACCTACTGCCTCCCCAACAAGCATGTTGTAAAAGTGGACTATTTGGGAGCTTCCTTTGAAGTCAGAATGCATCTGCCTGAGAGACAAGGAACCAACAGTCTGCATACGATTAAATGAGATCTGTTAAATGGATGTGCACGCAATACTCAGACTCTGGAACAAGACTAAAGCCCAGAGGTGGACAAACAATCGGAATGTTTTGCCAGAATTTAGAGCCAGTGAACGCGAAGAAGAAGAAAGAAAACACATCCATCTTCCATCCTCTGTGTGTTTTAGTAATTTTTCAGAAAAAGCAGTGATTGGTGTCCAGTGTGGTTTTTGCCGGCACAGTAAGGGTTCAATTATTGGATGACCCACATCCTGGGAAGTTGAAACTGTGATTAATCAACCCAAATGCTGCTTAAGAATGAAACTGTTGACTGTTGTCTCTTTGAGTGCCCAAAACTAAGTGTGAGTAGAAGAATGCTTCTCTCCCCGAGACCAGACAAGTGGACCACCTTGTACAGAGGAAAAGAACAGTTTGTGAAAACATGTAAATTCCGCTACATGCGATTGAGCAAAAGGGTGAAAACTCATGCACCACTAGATTGATAACAACTACAACAACAATAATAACAACAAACACAACAGACTTTGGGAGTTGTAGTAAATTATTACATGTTTCTGTCTGTCAGTTTCCTTTCCCTCTGGACTGCTGCCTGAAGATTTGACCACCTTAGTGGCTTTGAGTCACATTCTAAATGGCAAACCAACAGGCTAATACCAGATACCATGTTCAACCTTCAAAGAATTTTACCAATAATGACTATACCAGTACATCCTGATGTATCCTGCAGTCCTTTATGGGTATACCCAATACATCCGGATGTATCCTGCAGTCCTTTATGTGTATACCCAATACATCCGGATGTATCCTGCAGTCCTTTATGTGTATACCCAGTACATCCGGATGTATCCTGCAGTCCTTTATGTGTATACCCAGTACATCTGGATGTATCCTGCAGTCCTTTATGGGTATACCCAGTACATCCGGATGTATCCTGCAGTCCTTTATGTGTATACCCAATACATCCGGATGTATCCTGCAGTCCTTTATGTGTATACCCAGTACATCCGGATGTATCCTGCAGTCCTTTATGTGTATACCCAGTACATCTGGATGTATCCTGCAGTCCTTTATGGGTATACCCAGTACATCCGGATGTATCCTGCAGTCCTTTATGTGTATACCCAGTACATCCGGATGTATCCTGCAGTCCTTTATGGGTATACCCAGTACATCCGGATGTATCCTGCAGTCCTTTGTGTGTATACCCAGTACATCCGGATGTATCCTGCAGTCCTTTATGGGTATACCCAGTACATCCGGATGTATCCTGCAGTCCTTTATGGGTATACCCAGTACATCCGGATGTATCCTGCAGTCCTTTATGGGTATACCCAGTACATCCGGAAGGCAAACTGCTCTTTGTTTAGCAGCTGGAAAACAATGCACCAGTGCAGGTGGGAAGAAGAAGGGACAGAGCAGAATCAATGCTGTACAGACTGGGTAAGTGGATAATGAGGAATCTCTGACATTAACATGATTGTCTGACAGGGGAGTAAAGAATGGTGAAGCATGTCTATACCGTCTTCAATTCCAGGATAGGAGGCATTATAATCAGCTCCATTCTGTTCCGTTGCTTTGCTAAAAAAAAAAAAGGCAAGTTTAACCAGCAACCCCGAAAGGATGGGGGAAAAGGGTGCGGGTGGCTTTATTTTGTTATTATGACTAGGTTATTTGCACCATAGAAAATGGCTTAGTATTGCTTGCCACCAAGTAGCCCTGAAAAGTAGCTCTTGCAGTATTGATGTGATCAAAGGAGACAGACTTAAATATTGTCCCGGCCGGCAAAGTTGTCTACCGACCAACCAATGGGCCGCCCAGTCGCTGATGAACAAGCTCCTCATAGGAACAGTAAGTAGAGACTCCTTGTTCTGAGCATTAATGGGAATGCCCAATGTGCGGCGATGTCGACTGTGATAACATAACATAACATAAAGTGATAACACAACATAAAGTGATAACATGACATAAAGTTCATGATGGTAATCTCATGATTCATTTGTGTGACCATTTTCAGAGAATTAAACATCTTTGCAAGCCTCATGAATCATGGGGCCCTGCTTTACCTGAGAACAGAAAACGCTATTTTGCTGAACTCGGCAGAAGTGAGCTGCAGGACATTTTCATCCCCACACATGAGAAAACTACCCCACCAACCAGCAATGGCTGTGATGAAACTACACTTGTGTTCCTGCCCAAGTCGTAGCTACATTCTTTGAACAAAGCAACAGAATAATCTCACTCCTTTTATATGAACATTGCCTCCAAGTTGGAGACTAGTTGCCATTGTTATCAATTCCTGTCTTCTTTGAGGCTGATGTTCAGTCCTCTATTCATATGTATTATAAAAACGCATTATAAATACAGGCATGAATTTTATGATCTTGAATGAATCAGTATTATTTTTTGGGGGTAATTATATGTGCCAGACAACCTCTGGAAAACCACTTTACATGCTAATTTAGTGTGGGAAAGGGAAGGGATGGTTGTTGAAAATAATCAGTTGGTTTTTACTTTATTTCATTTCATAAGTATCATACATTAAATATCTATTGTTTCACAAGATTTTATTGTAAGAGCCTCTGTAAATTTCTCAACAGATGTAAAAGTTAATTCAACATTTCCTTAACAACAAACGTCTAAGTTGGTTCTAGGCTTATTCACAGTAAATGGTCAAAGATTTCACAGTATATATCCAAGAATGTCCAGCGTTTCAGAGTAAATGTCCAAGAATGTCCAGCATTTCAGAGTAAATGTCCAAGACAGTGAATCATTTCAGAGTAAATGCCCAAGACAGTCAGGAATTTCAGAGTAAATGTCCAAGACAGTCCAAAATTTCAGAGTAAATTTCCAAGACAGTCCAGCATTTAAAAGTAAATGTCCAAGACAGTCCAGCGTTTCAGAGTAAATATCCAAGACTGTCCAACATTTCAGAGTAAATTTCCAAGACAGTCCAGCATTTCAGAGTAAATGTCCAAGACAGTGAATCATTTCAGAGTAAATGCCCATGACAGGAATTTCAGAGTAAATGTCCAAGACAGTCCAGCATTTCAGAGTAAATGTCCAAGACAGTCCAGCATTTCAGAGTAAATGTCTAAGACAGTGAATCATTTCAGAGTAAATGTCCAAGACAGTGAATCATTTCAGAGTAAATGTCCAAGACAGTGATTCATTTCAGAGTAAATGTCCAAGACACTCCATTATTTCAGAGTAAATGTCCAAGACAGTCAGGCATTTCAGAGTAAATTTCCAAGACAGTCCAGCATTTCAGAGTAAATGTCTAAGACAGTGAATCATTTCAGAGTAAATGTCCAAGACAATGAATCATTTCAGAGTAAATGTCCAAGACAGTGAATCATTTCAGAGTAAATGTCCAAGACAGTGTTTCATTTCAGAGTAAATGTCCAAGACAGTGTTTGATTTCAGAGTAAATGTCCAAGACAGTGATTCATTTCAGAGTAAATGTCCAAGACAGTCATGCATTTCAGAGTAAATGTCCAAGACAATCAGGAATTTCAGAGTAAATGGTGAATCATACGCAGGAAGAGAATTTGACCAGCTCTGCTTAAGATGAGGTTTGAATAACAAATCAACATCATGACCCACGGGTAGTGACCCATAAGTGCTCCGTTCTACTTCTAACTCAAGTCTGAGTTTGAAGTAGCTCAGAGCAGTGAACGGGCTCCGCAGCACCGGCGAGGATCCTGGAATATTTTGGGCAGATTTTTAACTCAAAATTTTACCCGTGCAGTGCTGTTTGGCTACTCTTTTCCATTTCCAACTGCCAAGGGATTTTTTTACGTTCGCAGCAATACACACGGGTGTCCGATCTCACTACCCAGAGACTAGGGGAAATTACTAGAAGTCCATGTGAAAAAATCCCAGCCCTCACCGGGGCCTGAACCCAGGACCTCTAGCACACGTGGCGAAAACCATACCTCGAGACCATGCAGCTCCCTGCTTAAGATGACAAAAGCTTGAAAGTATGTAGTAGAATGAATAGCTATACCAAAGAACACTAAGGGTACTAACTTACAATTTCACATGTTTTTTCAAGACCATCATTATAATTTTCAATATCAAATCAGCAACATCATCATCCTTTTGTGGCATTTCTTTATCCATGAGGGGTTGCAGTCTATTCCTTCATTCAGTTCTCTCTTGTGCAATCTTCTGGTTATCATGGAAGGAATCTAGTCCTGTGCTTTTGGCCTCTCTCATGAACATTTAGAGTTTCTCTTAGGTGTGTCTCCCCAGTCCATTTGTTTCTGATTTCAGTGTTTGTTTGGTGTTTTTCTGTTCATGTTTCTTCATGTTTTGACAAGTACATAATAATTCTCTAAATAAGACCACCATGCTGCCTATTTGTGCCCATTATTGTCACATGGAGCATAGGTCCTTCACTAGCTTGTCATCATATATACACCATGGAAAGTGGCTGTACATGATATTTCATGCTGGTATCTTCCCTCCATCAGGGAGCAGCTGCATGTGATATTTCATGCTGGTCTCTTCCCTCCATCAGGGAGCAGCTGCATGTGATATTTCATGTTGGTCTCTTCCCTCTATCAGGGAGCAGCTGCATGTGATATTTCATGCTGGTCTCTTCCCTCCATCAGGGAGCAGCTGCATGTGATATTTCATGTTGGTCTCTTCCCTCTATCAGGGAGCAGCTGCATGTGATATTTCATGCTGGTCTCTTCACTTCATCGGGAAGCAGTTGCACATGATATTTCATGTTGGTCTCTTCCCTTCTTCTGGAAGCAGCTGCACATGATATTTCATGCTGGTCTCTTCCCTCCATGGGGGAGCAGCTGCATGTGATATTTCATGCTGGTCTCTTCCCTTCACTAGAGAGCAATAAAATGTACCGGAACAGCAACAACAGTTCAAAAAAGACATCAGGAGAAACCAAAAACTGAATGTTACTTAAATCCGCTGCCCACATTGTGTGAACAGTCTGTACCAAGACTGGCCTTATTATTCACCTATATACTTTAAAAACCCCCATTCTGCTTAGAGGATGAAAGCAACAGTCATCATCACTTGACAGACAAGCACATTAATATACAGTGGTACCTAGGTATATGTCCTTATTTCATTCCAGATTCATGAACTTGTACCAGGTCTAATCAACTGGTGGCACGCAGGTCACATCTGGCCCATGGAAGCCTAGCAAGTGGCCCATGGATCATTGCCAGTTGTATTGTATTATTTATTTTTCTACGCTGGACCTAGGACCTCTGGCCAATGATGGTTCCCATTTTCGAAATGTTGGCTTCCGAGTGAACTTAGCTGAATAGTTCTGACTTATACAAACAGAATGTACACTAAATGCACTTTCCCATAAGAAGAAAATGGATAACTATTAATCTGTACCCATTAAAAAAATTTTAAAAAATTAAAGTTGAGTTGAGTTGAGTCAAGAATTGACATCACAGCACACGGGGCATCCCCATGCGTGCTCCGTCCTCATCTTCAGCAGCCAGCGCAAAGTTCCAGTACTGATGGTACCGGTTACAATCTGGTTATATGTCTGTCTTGCCTTTCCTCTGAGTGTAGTGAGCTGGCCAGACCCTCTGGTTACACCCAGGTGCCTCATTCTCTCCAGGCCATAATAATCTTTTTTCTCTACTGATTACATTGCTTGTTCCCAAAGGGCCTTGACCACATCTGCCTCGTCATGTATCAATTCACCGCCCAATGGTGCAGATCCAGCCAATCTGTCTGCCTGTTTATTACAAAATTAGACAAAATTATCTAAAATAATTTAAACACTGCTTAATACTAAAATACATAAGTACAAAAGCAATTAGATGAAATAAAGGAAACTTTAACCTTATTTCATGTACTAGAAGCAAAGCAGTCAGGGAGTAACTTGTAATGGAGGAAAGAGAAGAGATAACTATAAAGGATAATATGGAAATCTACTCCTTGAAATCTCCTCGACTCCGAACCTACAAGAGTTCTAACAATGTGCCATGGCGAGTGAGAGCCAAAACCCAACCTTAAGCTGCTTTAGTAACAAGAAAAAAAAAAAAAGGAGAAAAAGTTTGTTTAGGCGGTGGTAAGATCAAAAGTATCTCACCCTGACAGGAAATCATTTGTGTAAAGTCTAGATCAGCTAAGCAACAAATACTAAACTATGCACACTAACTATAAGTCCTAATCTGAACAGAAAACAACTGGAACTATGATTACTACATTGAACATCTGTTTATTTCACTTAACATAAAATCAGCGCGGTCCACAAATAACATTAACAACAACCAACGTGCTCGACCAGAATCTCCAGCTAACCAGGAAATATGATAGTGACACTATACGCTCAGTGAGATTACCTCAACAATGGCAAAAACTGGAACATTTTTAACATGTGTGTTAAGCTTTAATATGCCACCAGACCAACAAATCACTAATAGCAACCTGCCATCAAAATATCTCCTAGCGATGATGCACAAATGGAAATCAAATCTAACACCACCTAAACAAATGAAATGTACCATTATCGCGAACACGAGCCAGTCTGACAACCGGCCTTTCCCTGCAGTCGCCCATACCCATATGGCTAGCCCAATGTGCAAAGCCGCAACAGCTGGATAGGTCTCCACAGGGTGCGTCCGGAAGTCAAATAGAAAGCTAAAAGACTACAAAAGGTCTTTTATAAACTGATGGTTGGCCAGGTTTCTTCGCTTTACCGTCTCAAGCTAATAGCTGTTCCTGTGGTCTCTTTGTCATTTTTAAACCAGATGAAATCAAAATCGTTGAGCTGCTGAACTGTAGTCTTTGTCGTTTTCCAGCCTATCACATTTACTTTGCTTGGAATAGTTGAGTGCTTACTAGAATGTTGCTGAAAAGGGAGGAGGAGGAGATGTCGTTTGGAAGGAGACCCATTTCCAACAGAACTTTAAGAATCTGAAATTCTGTTGTGAGAATCTCTTTTTTCTTTCTCTGGTTGAGGTTCATGAGTCCTACATGCAAGTCATATTCCCAACAAAGATCGTATAGCAAGCACACTTTTGCATCTAAACAGAATGTATACCAAGTTGAAGTTATTAGACAGCGGACGTATACTGAGGTACCTTCTGCTTCTTCTGCCTTTCTAGCCCCCAATGGAGCATAGGCCCTCAACTCACGCCAAGTCGTTCTATCCTTTGCTATAAAATGCAGCTCTCCCCATGTCCTCCCCATCTTTCTTTCTCCAGC